AAGCTTTCTTCATCCCCTATAGCACCACTGCTTACTGGTGGCTGGGGAGCTGGGAACCAGGATGGTCATTTGAAAAGAAGGCTGGATGCAGACAAAGCAAGGGACGTGATCTGGCAGATGTTTAGTGACAGGTTGGAGCTGGCAGGAGTGTCAGTGTCCAGAGCTGAGGCTTACACAACGGGAGCCCAGGGAAAAGATGTGTGCACAGCTGGAGTCTCCTTTCCAATGGGCTTCTCGTTTCATAGTTTGTTTTGCATAATGCTCAAACGTGAGCTAAAGGCTTGTTTTTCAAAAGTGAAATTGCAAAAGCACAATAACAACCTTTTACACATATGACTCAAAGTGTATTTGTAGTTTTGATTTGCAAAGATGAACAGTAAATTCTCTTTCAAAGTTTCCTGTTGCTATGATTAAAAAAAAAAATGTCAACCAGCTCTCTATCCAGCACCTTGTATCTGGTATAGACATTAAAACCACACACTTTACAAGCAGACTGGATTTGGAGCCGAGGCCCTGATGTGTTTTAAGTGTCTGCTGAAGAGACAATGTTGACTTGCCCCTCTTGTGACTATCTCGTTGGAAGCTACAGCACGTAATGAGAAATGTCAAGTCCCAAGATCAATGAAATTTGGGGCTCCAGGGATTCAACAGGAATAGCATTGATCCTTTTAAAGAACACCAGTCAGAGATGGGCTGTAATATATTGTAGAGAAGGGCTCAGGAGGATAAGCGGCCAAGTCCAAGATACCTGCCTGACAAAAAATTCAATCAGCTTTGAGCACAGATTGCCTGCTCTGCTCTCCTTCCTTTCAGGCGGTCGCCTGCTTCCAATTAAAGTGCGCAAATTAATTTTTATCACTTCCAAATTAGTTTCACAATTTGTGTAAGAGTCTGCTTCAGATCAAAGCGTGTGTCCTTCACATCTCTGCAATTCTGTTATCTCATCAGGCACCTATTTACATCTACAGGAAAATTGTCTATGTTCGGAGTCGCAAGTTTGAAATAGTAGCAGTGAATATTAGCCTGCAATATATCAATGAAACCAGTATAATTAATTCAACTGGAACCTAGGTCAGGTAGCCTTTGCGTGTTTCTTTTATGGTCTGAAACTCTGTAATCATCTGCTTACACATTTTCATTGTCTTTGTGGCAAATTCATTAAAACTGTAAAGACAATTAGAAAAAGATTTATTTATGAGATGTCCAAGTTAGTCATAACAATATATGTATTTGACACAATGAAGCCATTAACTCTTTCAAACTTACCTAAAAAAATGAAGAGACACTATTTTTTTCCCTCTGTGACACCAATAGAGCTATGCATCAAAAAATAATAATGACAATGTAAAAGAAGCATACATCTATTAAAGTGCTTGGGTTTATCTTGAGGAAGTTTTAGTGATGTGCACATAAGGTGAGTGAATGAATCCTATCACATTATGGTGTTGTGCTGGATAGATATGATTCAGCCTCTGACATACAAAGCAAATTTAATGTCCACAGCAAGACAAGTCCTGAATTCTAACGGCTACTGGGATATTACATTTCACGCCAGGACTTCCCTCTTCAAGTCTAGGTTAATATATACAACCCTTGAAACCTAAGGGCATTGTGTCACACACTTTAATATGAATTTAGACGTAACTAGCTTTTTGGTCTTGTGTAGCAATGCATTATGAGATAGCAAGCACATATAGCCTGATTCTCTGACCTGTGAATTGGTAGCTAGAATAGATTAAACTGAAACTGGAAAAAAAAAAAAAAAGCTTTTTCCTTTCATATTTTGAGTTTTCTGATGGCAAATACCCATGGCTGATCCCTGATGTGACAGTCAATTCAGTGTGTGCTTTGACTGCCTCTGCAAAAGGTGAACTGACCAACATACACGGTCTCTCTAGGCATGCCTACATGAGCTGCGAGGTTGCCTTTTGTAACAGATTAAGTCAGTCACAAATCAGTCAAGTCAATCAACTACTAAAAATGACTATTATTTTTTACTATCATGATTTTTACTATCCATGTGGCAAAAAGCTTAAATCAGTTTTTATATAATCATCTATTTGTGTCCAAGATATAACATTAAACATTTTGTAGATATGAGTACATATCTAAATATTATCTGATAGCAATTAATGATCCATGCAGTACTCAGTACACTTGATAATTCCAAGCAGGAGAAGCAGTTCTGTGACTCTTATAGTCTATATAGATTATAATATAGACTTTTGGGTGAACCCCTGAAAGTCAGAGACTTTGATTGCCCAGCCCTCCCAGCTGCTAAGACAGTACCAGGACGCAGCAGATGTTCAGTACATGCTTGCTGCTTGGCCAATACTTTAGCAATTCATCCTGTTTAATCTAGAAGAGCATTTCTTCCCTTTTATGTTAAGGATAACAAATACGATGGAACATGTGATATATGCTCACATTAAATGTCTAGGAAAGTCTTGGCAGGGTGGGTTTTATGAAAGTCCTTTAGGTTTATAATGATGATGACAGTTTTTAATCAAAAAATATATATCCCCACAAATGGAGACAATACTGTATGGGTAATATTATGCAACGATTTCTTAGGGATAATCCTGTCTTTCTTTAAAGCTTAAACAAAATGCTACATTTTAACAAATCTATCAGTCACAGTTTTGTTCTTAAGAATTAACATAAACATTCCTATTACACAGCTCCTACCATAGGAACTTTGAATACTCTAAATACTACTACATTTCACTCTTCTTGCTAAGTGATGGAGCAAAGATACAATCAATTGTCAACCATCATTTCGTTTAGAAGATAATTAGAAAATAAAGTAGTTAACAGATAATTACTATAATTTAACATTTTTATCTCATAGCAGGACATTATATTATCTTCTCTACTACCAGATGGTAGTTTTTAAGAAATGAATTGTTTTTGGAAACATAATTTTCATCATTTCTGAGCTTCATTTTGAAGATGTTAATTAGTTGGATTTAAAACACTATTCTGCTCCTTTATAAAGTTTTTTTTATATCTAATAACTTCTAATTTGTGTCAATAATAGATGGAAGATACCACACAGCTCTGGTGCTCAATTCAACTTCTCTTGTAATGAATGCTACACTAGTCTCAAAAAAGGAAGTTTGGAAATATGTAAAAATACATTTAGACAAAATACATGTGATAATGTACCATGATTAAGAATAATAAAGTATAATAATAAAGTAGATCAAATATATTTTATACACACACACACACACACAAGAATCCTGCTAAAAACAAAGCTCTTTCTTTTTTTTAGGGATACAGTTTTTAAAAGAGTAAATAACTTATTAGCAATTAGAGTATGATGTCCTGTATACTGTAGAATTGGTGGCTGATCAGTCGTGCTGGTTGGAAATCAAGCAACAGTGTGTCTTCCTCAAACCAATATCTCACAACCTGGAGCAGAGGCTAAAATGTATAATTACACGTACTTTCTCTTATTCAGTATCTACACTCAGAGACACAACTTCATAATACACTTTAAATTTCTTCATCTACCTTTTTTCACCTCTAGCTATGGGTGACAAGAATAAGTCACCGGGTCACATCTAAATCACCTGGTCTTTCATTCTCTCACTACCTTCATATACATATGAACATTTCCATGCCCCGCTCTTGCACAGTTATACCTTGGTCTCCTGTACATTTCTTTTTCTCTATAGTATTTCAGTGGCAGGTACATAGTATTCCTGGGAAATTCTTAGCTGTTTCATCATAAACATTCCCAAACTCATGTTTTCAGAGTACTGTTAAAATTGTGACCAATATATGAATTATAATTGGAATAACCCTAGTTTAGGTATTGCCATTATTAACAGTTTAGGGAAATCATTCTCTATTTTACAGGAGATACAAGCTTGGTAGTTAAAACCAGTAATTATTTCTAGGAAATCTGTTATCTGGTCCTCAGTCATTTAACAGTGTTTATGGAAAACCTATAATGTGTGCAACTATGCCAGGAGTCAGAACCTTCAAGTGCAAAGACAGGGTCTCATGGTGCGCGTCAGAGCTTCCTCAGAACAACAGTTCGCAGGAATAGTAACTGCTCTTTCATGAGCAAAGGGTTCCTTGGAAAACATGTTTGAGAAACCATGTGCGCGTGTGTGTGCTCAGTCGTGTGAGACTTCGCAACCCCATGGACTGCAGTCCACCAGGCTCCTCTGTCCATGGGATTCTCCAGGGAAGAATACTGGAGTGGGTTGCTGTTTCCTTCTCCAGGGGAATCTTCCCAACTCAGGGTCAAACCTGTGTGTCTCCTGCATTGGATTCTTTACCACTGAACCAGCTGGGAAGCCCTTGAGAAACTCTGGTTTATGCAAACATCAACAGACATATTTGTGTGAGTCTTTCAGAGCTTACATAGAGAATAACAGTATATAAGCTGTATTTTCTAAAATTTATTTTACTCTGGAGTACCTCATTTTTTTCCTATGGAATATTTTTGGGAGCACTGTTGAACAAAAAACACTCAGGAATCACCCTAAACAAAGAAATCATCTTATTCAGCTTCCGCTCCCCTCGATGCCTAACCTGAGGGGGTACTCAGTCATCATCAAATAAATAGAAATACTTACTATACCCCTCGTAGAAAGCAGTAGGTGTCCTCAGGAGGCACGAATAAAGTGTATGGAATTTCAGAGAAGGGAGAGAATACATTCAGTTGAGAGAAATCACAGGAAGTTGAACGGACCAGGTGACATGGAAGGAAATTCCAAAAGGATGGGGACATCTGGAGACTGGGGAAGGGCAGCTGGGCAGAGGGTCACTGTGAGGGGATCCGGGAGTTTCCTCAGGCTGAAGGTTAGAGTGGTTGCTCTGTTTTTACACTCTGAATACAGCTATATTCCAATAAAGAATACAGCTACATTCCAATGCTTTTTAAGCTTTCGTATTTTAAAATCCTTACAATCCCAGCAAAAGTTATTAGGGAAATTAAAGGAATTTACAGTCTGATGGGATGATTCCGGACCGATACTTACTGCTGTTCGGGTTGTCCCCTATGATGTGGTGTCGGCCGCTCCAGTACCAGAGCAGCAGGGTGGCATCGCGAGACCCAGACACGATGTAGCAGTCCCCGCCGATGTACGACTCAGACCTGGCCAAGCACGTCACCACGTCCCAGTGGCCAAATACAATCTGAGTTAGCTTCCCTGCAACACAGAAACGGCATGTCGAATCCAATGGCTATCTTTCTTTAAACAGTAGTAAGCTTAACTTTATTTTACTAGATTTGTGGAAAGTGACTCTATAGACCTGTAAACTTGCAAGGTAATTCAAATCTAGCTACAGATTTAGGTTCTTGAATCCCTTCTGAAAAAATGATACAAGAATGTCACTTCGGCGTTTGTTTTAAGGAAAGAACTTATAAAATAACACAATCATGATTTTTTTCCCCTTGGGCTAGGCCAGTCTAAAGGGAGCTTTAAGGCCTTTTACTAGATTTGATTTGGGGGAGGGGGACAGTAGTCCCTTTTGTCCCATGAACTCAGGGCTCAACTCACGCTAAAGTTCAGAATGGATGAAATTAGAAGCAGTCAATTACTTACAATGTGGACATTTAATTGGAATCTTGGCATCAAGATGAAGATGCCTACATTAAGAAGTATGACTTAATATGAAACTTTAGGTGAAACAACAGGCATTCTGATGAGGATAAGGTATCTCATAGTTCAGTTTACCTGTTTCTGTAGAATAAACTCTGAAGCTCTTATCCCAGAATCCACAGATAAGAATATAGCGATTATCTGCCGTGACCACAAAACAATGTGCGTTGATCTGTATGCTCTGGTCAACGAGGTCTGTGATCTGTCGTTTATTCACACCAGAGTTATTGGCTAAACATAAAACAGATACAGGAATTTAAAGAGAGATTCTACAAAGAGTTTCACCACTTACAGAAGGAATACTTTTATGCTTCATTTATCTAGAAATGGGTTCTAATGCTATATGATTAAGATTTTAGCATTTCCCCATGAGGAATATAAACTCTTTAGTAGCAGTGATTATTTATGAACCATATTATATATTAAAAAAAATTGTTGGAAATTTAAGTAGTTCTTCCACTGATATTAGGAATTCAAGACGGGAATTTACAACATAATAAAAATATTTATATGCACTTAATTCAATAGATATTCACCCTGCACAAGTTCATTATTGTCCAACAAGTTCAATAATAATAAGAAATAAATATTGTATGAAGCATGTTACATAAGGAAAAAATGTTTTCATATTTGCCCCCATCTGTCATTTTCTGATGGCCTTTATGATTCATGGGAAAAGAAGAAAGTAGGGATTTGTGCCAGGGGTGTTGTTATGTAGGTGGCCCCTCAGGGAGCTTTAGGTCAGCAGCTTTAAAGACCTGGGTTGTCAACAAACAGAAGCCTTTCCAGAATGGGCTGGCAGGGGAGGAGGGGAACGAGAAAGATGGGAGAGGCGCTGGGGAAGAAAGAGACAGGCAGAGAGTCATGGGCAGCACTGGGACTGAATGTGAATAAAGTCAGGAACTCAGAGATGCCCTGTGATTTCCCCAGTGCCTGTCTGCATGCCAGCCTGTCCCTTACCCCACACCGTCCTTTCAGGCCAAATCCCTGGGCTGAATTCTTAAACAGAAAATGCAGATGTAGAAGATCACCATCACTTCCTAACACCAATTAAATCTAAGTGCTACTATTTGTGGACATTGACTGACACTATAATAATAATTACTAGAGGAGGCAAAAAGTAAAAAAAAAAAAAAAGTTTACAAAAACAGCAAAGGAAAAGAAAATCAAAGGTATGAGTCACTTGAAAACTATGTAGTTGGTGCCTGATTAATTAGCATACAGCTATTAATCTTCCACGGTTACACTCTAGCTGTACGTGAAACTGTTGCTATTTTTTTAGCAGAGAAACAGCTAGAAGCTAGATTCCACTTGAAAAATATTCCTTGTCCTAAGCATGTATTCTCCGAGAGAAATATAAGTGCTATTATTCTGTGTAGGAGTATAGGTAACTAACCTAAATGGCTGCCTTGCCTCTTATTTCTGGGTTCAAAGATGAAGGCTGAATTAATCTAAAGAAAAATACCGTAAATTGTTTATGGCTTTATAATTTTTCATACCACATTCGATGTTTTTCTTTATTTAGCTCTCATATGATCCCATGAGGATAGGGAGAACAAACATTATTAGGAACCATCTTACAGATATGAAACTGAGGCCCGGAAAGATTAAGGCACTTGTTCTGCATCACACAGCTAATAAATGTGTATGTGATTATTAAAAATACTTTGAATACTGCTACAAATAGTTATAGCTCCTGAGTTTGCAATCCATATGAAATCTTAAATTAAAAAAAAAAATACTAAGCTCTATTGAATGGAGATTTCCAGAAAAGTTATTCTTTAGTATCAACTTTCTTAATAATAGCTTTGAGTCCTTATATATTTGAAATAATATAAAGTTGTTAAAGAAGAGTTGTGGCTGAAAGAAAGCACAGTTTGGAATTATATGTCTTGTTTAGAATCAACCTAAATGACCTCTGGAAATACCAAGAAAATACCACAAATCATTATTTTAATATCAAAAAATTCTTAGATGACATATTATGATTTGCACAGCTCCTGGATGGCAATTTGACATTATTTGTACATTAAGTTGTGACAGAAAAAGTATCATTCAACTGTCATTTGTGATAAATAACCACATAGGAACCTGTGGATAGGCTGCATTTATGAAAATGCATTTTTTGTTGTTAACATACCAATTAGTGGATCCATTTCAATGGGAAGGTGATGGGCTTGGTCCAAGGAGTAACCTGGAGCTCCTCTGAGGCCTAAAGATTAATTAAAAGAGAAAATGACCATAAAGTTCTCAGAACGGAGAAATTTCCTAATAAGCAGTGTTTTATAACAATTATACAATATATATATTTTCATAAAAATTATTTGGTAAATTACTGTAAGAATCATTCAGTCACACTACATGTTTTTGAAGACAAATCTTAAAAAAAGCATTACAACAGGGACTGTTGGTTTCCACTTAAGATGGAGAAAGCGAGGAAGAGTGTTCTCCTAACAACAGAAAAAGCTGGATAAAATAGAAGACTATAACATTTGTGGAATCCATCAGAGAGCTGACATCTAAGAAAAGGTTATGTCTACATGTAGGAATGGGTGTGAGCATGGGCTGACCTGGGTCAAGGCAAAGAGGAAGATGGGACTCCCATCCCTTCCAGCTTCTTTCAAAGGATGACAAGTCAACTGAAGGTATACAGTTGAGCCACACCTAAAATCTCAACCTAAAAGCTACTTTCAGAGGATTAATAGATAGAGCTTCATTGAGTTCTTTAGTCATAATTTCTTACATGGGGTAACATATAAACTTTAGAACAACTCTAAAGAAAACAAAAATCAAATCTTTATAGCTTTCTCTCAGTGCAAAATGTTTCTAGAGGCTAAGACTTCTGTGAATAATAAAGTCGTATTTGGGTTGGTCTGAAAGTTCATTCAGATTTTTCTGTAAAGAATTATGGAAAAACCTGAACAAACTTTTAAGCCAACCCCAGATATTTTTAAGAGACGTCTTCTCCATATTTCTGAGTGAATGGAAGTCATTCTACTTCATGTTGAAAGTATTACCAATAACCATAAAACAGAGGTATTCAGAAATTCTTAGGAGATAAAGCTAAAAGTAATCTGGTTTCCCAGAGTGGTGCAGAAGTCAGTAGGATTAAGATTCAGGTGAACTTGGTGTGGCTCAGCCATTCAGACTTAGAGACAGTGGGGATCTTGAGGCTTCTAGGGAGATCATAAGTAATGAACTGGGCCAACTAAATCATTTAGTCACATCCACTGCTGTTCTGGCTGGATAAGTATCAATTTGTCGAATTTTCATGACAGAATTATATCACTTCAAGATGTACTAGCTGGAACCTTCAGGAATGAGTGTGGAGAAAACACACATGAAATAACTCAACAATTTATAGATTCTGTTTTCTCTTGGACTCAAAGCTCCACAAAGAGAGGGATGCTACTTGCCTTGTCCACTGCTGAACTTTCAGTGCCCAGGACCACTTGACACAAAGTGGTCATTCAGATATTTCCTAAATGAGTTAATCAAGTGGGAGAAAAAGGATTTGAAACCACCTAGATTCAAAGTTGTTTTTGTTTAGTATGGGATACAATTTGTCTTTTTTTTTCCCCTCGCAGGAGCAGAGTGGGAGGACCTGAATTATTAGTAGAACTGCTTCAATTTATCAAATACTTATTAGATACTGAACCATTAGCCAAGCATTCTGTGAGCTTCCCTGTGGCTCAGTGGGAAAGACTCTGCCTGTCAATGCAGACACAAGGGTTGGATCCCTGGGTCGGGAAGATCCCCTGGAGGAGGACATGGCAACCCGTTTCAGTGTTCTTGCCTGGGAAGTCCCATGGACAGAGGAGCCTGGTGGATTGCATCTGTGGGGTCACAAGAGTTGGACATGACTGAGTGACTAAACAACAAGCGCTGCGTGTGGCACCAAAGCACAGCAGCAATGAAGAAGACAGACGAGTTAATGGGTGAGGTCTGGAAGTTATTAACTCTGCTGCTTCGTGGAGATCACGGGGCATACTCGCGAGCCCTCCGCACACTCACCTGAACCCCAGCTTTAAGACCCTGCTCAGAAGTGACCCCCTCCAGCCCACGCACCTACTGTGTTGTGCCACCGGTTCACCGCAAACAGCCTGCTGCAGGTCACCGTCACCACCGCGGGGACGGTCAGGTGGGGCAGCGTGTTGGCCGCCACGTGCGTCACTGGGGAGTTTGACGGAAACTTCAGCACCATGATCACATCCTGCTGCATCTGATCTTTAAACATGAGTGGACTCTGTGGAAGGAAACACTGTTGAATAGAAAGGGAGGAGAGCAAAGGAAACAAAAGGAATAACACAGTTAGTGACAGCGTGGGGGAGAGTGAGATTAAAACAGGCTAGCGTGAGCACAAGCAGACAGCAGGGCAGCTGGCACTCTTGTCTGTGCGTAGGGCACAGCCAAATGAGCGGGCACTCTGCACAGTTGCTGAGAGAGGACTCCCAATGATTAATAACCAGCTGCAATTTAGGTGCTGCCAGACGATGGGAGAGGGCTTCCTGGTGGCTCGGATGGAAAGACTGCCTGCAGTGCAGGAGACCCAGGTTTGATCCCTGGGTTGGGAAGGTGCCCTGGAGAAGGACATGGCAACCCACTCCAGTATTCTTGCCTGGAGAACCCCATGGACAGAGGAGACTGGTGGACTACAGTTCACGGGGTCGCAGAGTTGGACACGACTGAGTGACTAACACATTTCCAGATGACTTAAGAAGTTAGCTCAGCGATATGTCCACATGATGCAGTGTAATTTTTCAGTGCAGTTACATCACTGTGGTGGAAACATCAGTCAAGCCAGTTACCAACACTGTTTATGTGAAATACGAAGTGAACTGATTCTTTCATTTTTTACCTGGCCGATCTGGAGGCATGGCTACAGTCTCGATAATTGAAATATCAGAGCCTCCCTTGTCCATGCTCCATGTGCAACGCCTCTGCTATGTCTCTGATGACCATGGTTTAGGCTCCTTCCCCTGCTCGATGGTGAGCTTCCTGAGAGACAACACTCTCTTTGCTTTTTTAATCTTTATTTTTCAAACATCTAGTATATGACTTGATAGAAAGTAGACACTACCAGTACTGCCAGTAAGTAGTATGGTGGTGGTGGTTTAGTCACTAAGATATATCTGACTCTTTGCCAACCCATGGAATGTAGTCTGTAAGGCTCCTCTGTCCATGGGATTTCCCAGGCAAGAATACTGGAGTGGGTAGCAAAATACTATACACATTATTACATAAAAGATAAGAATGCTGGAAATAACCACTATTTAGCTTTCATGAATGTTTTCTAATTGTTCAATATTTTATATAGACGTGTGTGTATGTGTGTGAATTCTCTGCTACATAAACTTAAAAAGCTGATTTTCTTTATAAACAGTTCCATGCCAATTTAGCCTCTAACAATTTCCCCTAGGAAAGTAATGAGTTCTGACTGGGCATTTCTCCAGGATAAATATTTTTTTTACTATTATTATCATTAAACAGAGAAAACCAACACGGGGATAAAACTCTTCTGCCAAAGCATTTCATAAAATAAAGTGTGAGAGAGACTCTCTCGGACAGTTTGTTAAAAATGCTTCCTCTCAGGTCTGCAGGCTCCAAGTCTACGCTGCACCTGGGTGTGGGATGAGGACAGCATGCGTGGTGAAAGTCTCTCTGCTTGGCTGCATGTGAGGACCCACCTCAAGCAGCAGAATTCATTAGTGACTAAACAGTGAAACTGTTCAGCTGAGTTATTGTAGAGGAAAAGAAATGTTTTCAAACATTCACATTTATTTATGTCTCAGTAGGTGATGGACTATCAACCCTTCGAAGGTGTATAGGACGTATTGTCTCTGTACTGCCAATGCTTAGGCACACAGAAGGGGCTCGATTCAAATGTGTAAAGTAGTTGACAGGATAAATGAAAGGTACGAACAATACTTCTATCACACAATAACAACTTGTACATTTGTTTACATACAATATGGACCGTGTTCCAGGGCACTTTACTCCAGTATGAGGATATCTGGTCCCTTGACTTGTCTAGAAAAACTGATGAACTGTAATTCATTCTTCAAATATATTTTTGCTGTCAAACATTTTTTTTTTCTCAGTAAAAACTTAGTGGAAAATCACAGTGACAAAGTAAGTTCTAACATAATTTCTTAGAAAAATTTTTACCTTCAAATTAAATAAACAGGGAAATGTTAACTGCTAAAAACTGAAAAGAAGCCGTATTCTTATGAAAATGGATCTTAAAAGATGCAGATTGAAATGAAAAGAATATTACTTCTTCCCTCGAAGACTGAGAATATGACGCCAGCTAACATTTACTGAGTACCTGTATGCCAGAGTATGTAAGTCTAAGTGCTACATACAGTACTGAGTCATTACATTTTCAGGGCTGGTGCGATTTGTTACCCTCAGGCTACACATGCTGAAATGTAAACAAAGAACTTAAATACCCTGCCCAATTCATTCATTAGTTCATGGCAGACATGGTGCTTGACCCAAATCTGGCTCTGAGGTCCTTATTTTTAATCTATTTTCTTGAATGCTGCCATGCAGAGGCTGTATATTTTCTCTATATTTCTTTCCTTTTCTTAAAATGAACTACTTCCCCTACCACACTTTGCCCCCAAAGATCAAACCTGCTACCTTTAGATTGTATTTCTATTATATTTTTCATTCTAATTTATAAGTGTAACCTAATTTTGGTGCCTGTGTATGTCTATAAGCCTGTATGTGTATGAAGGAGTTTATATACATGAGCCAACTCCTAATAGAGAGGGCAGCTATTTTTGTGAATCCAAAATTGGGCTAGCTGAAGCCAAACTTAAAGGTAAGAACTAGACTCCTTTTTCTGTTTCTTTCTAGGTAATCAGTATATCCTGAGGCTGAAGAATTAAGCCAATACATCGAGAAGCTTTAAAACGCTGCTAAAAAAAAATCACTATTTTATTTGAACTCTACTCAGGTACAAAGAAAGACAGAAATGTTCCGCAAGCTGCCACGTCTTACCAGGTGCATGGCAGAGCTCCGAGGCGGATGTGGCTCAATAAGCAACTGAGATGGCGTTTGTCCAAAGTTCTGTATCTGTGCCTCCATGGCCTGCAGGGGAAGGAGAGTGATTGTCACAATCAGTATGCATCAACGAGAGGGGTCAACACACTCTGACAACGCAAAGTGTATCCCAAGTCAGCCATGAAAAAAGTCTAGAAAATTCGCCGGGTGCTCTTCTCCCAGGGTGCAGAATCATCCAAGTGTTAGTATTTTGTAGACAAGCTCTGCTTCTCCTTCCAAACATGCTTCCGTTAAGTCACTATTCTTATTTAGAAGCTGGGGTTAAATGTGGAAATGTTATCCTGTGAGTACATGCAAGCAGCTAGAGACCAGAGAACACTCTGAAAACTAAATACAACACAAATACCTTAATAAAGTCCTTTGTAAGAAGGAACGTATGGGGATCTCTAATGAAATAAGCTTCTGGAATCTTAATGGGGAAAAAAAAGAATGAAACATAAAGTCCACTAAGGATACAAGATAAAATTCAAATAAGCATGTGTTCTAATCAATTCAGAGGGTAATAAGTAGAAAGAACATTAAGACTTCTGTATAGTAATCAAATACAGCAAAACTTTCACTACAAAAAATACAGTTTAGTGTGTTATGCTATTCTAAGATATATTCTGAAACATTATTTGTAAGCTATGAATTCATTCCTCTCAAAAGTCTTCTGAAATTTTAGAGAGAACTAACCCAAAGAGGAAATAATTCTTGGGGTATCCTGACCTATGCAATATGTCATTAAAACCTATGTGGATGGAAATATTAATGAGCCTTTGTGATTTCCAATGAATATTTCTAGATCTCAAACTGTCTGAAGTGTATAATATGCCTTTTTGGTGCGTACATCAAAGAGAAAAATCTTAAAAGAGATTTAAGTATTTCTTCTATACATAAATTCTACAGCCAAAAACTGCAATATATTTAACCAGACTAACAGAAATATTTTTCTGAAATATTGTAAGTATGTAATTTAAGTCAATAAGGAGAAGCACAATATTTACTATGATTATTACTCTGTTACCATGTTAATTTTTCCCCTAAAATTGTGTGCAGTTTGGTGGCACATAAAAGTGAAATACGAAAGTCATTGCTGAATACTTGGGAGTCAGGTAAGTTGGTAGATGGCTCTTGCCCAAACTCTGCCACTAATCCTATCAGTGTCTTCAATTCTTATTTATAAAGTCTTTAGATTAACAATCTGTCCTCCCGGACTGCATTCCAAGAAAATGTTTATCAATAAAAGTGTGAATTTTCAAATTTATTAGCAATATTAAACATGAATGCATCATTATCTACCATATTTTAGCAAGTGCATAAATGGGGCTTTGGCTCTTTATTTGCAGAAGCAACAGGATGAATTACTAAACCTCTTTAAGTACTGTCCAATTTTAATGTATACATTTATTTGCATGGTGTCCACTCACATGAGAACTGTGACTACCAACTAAATTGTGCTAATATAGATACCATCATACTTCATCTCCCCAAAGCAAGATTTATGATTAGAAAGGGGGAGAGACTATTTCTGGTTAGGTTCACATTATTAACAATAAATTCTGAGAATTATTTGGAAAAAAAAAGTAGGAATTGTATTGTTAAAGCTTCCCTGGTTAGAAAATGTCCAATACCCAGCTTAACGCATCACGAACTAAATACAATGATATCTACTATTGTGTTTTCACTCCTCCAGATAGAAGACCAGGGAGTGGGGAAAGAGATAGAAGTAAAATCAAACACATTTAAATCCCTAGATCGGTGCCCTGCATTTGAGTAGGTAGTTTTTCAATGTTCACAGAAGGAGTGAATCAATAAACATGCTTTGCTTGACTTTAATTTTCCTGAAGGGGAACTATTAAAATTATATTAGAAAATGTTATGAAACTGACTTTATTTCTAGAAATCATCTGTTTAGTTCACTTTACTGGGTCCTCCCACTGATCGTTTTGGACTGAGGCAGAGTACACAGGCACATATATATATCTTAAATGCTTCAAATGGCATCATGGCGAATTTTAAGTTGTACTCAATCTTACCTTTTCAATAAGACAGTCTGTTCCCAACATTCAGCGTTTCTTTCTTTTAAGACTAAACTGAATTTCTCTCCCCTACGATCTACATCACATTCTTTCACAACCTAGAGGTTCCTAGTTCAATATTTATCTTTTAGCTATCATGTAATCCTGTCCTCCAATAACTTCTTACCCTTTGAGTTTAAACTGATCAGACCTTTCTGATCTTGAAAAAGCATGTTGTCTCCCCTAAGTCTATTAAAATGTTTGAATGGTACGTGAGCACCTACTGATTTTCTTGACTGGCTCCCCCACACTTAGGAAGTAATCAAAGTCTTCTTTTTCACCAAGACGGGAGGTACTACTGCTGAAAATCGTTATTGGGCAAGTGGAAATCTGTTATATCATTATTTTTATATTATTCTCTTCACTTTCATATGTTCAAAGACTTCGATTTTTTTAAAAGTAATGCTGAGTAGAAAATAGTTTTCCATGGTCAGGTTGGGCTTTGAACAGAGATACAAATAAAACTACAGCAGAAAGGGGCAGGGGACTGATGAATTTTTATGGTTTCATTTCTCTGTTACTAGCTCATATTTTTGCCTATTTCATTTCTTTAAACATATTAAATCTTTTAAAAATAAAAAAGGGAGGGAGGTACTTTCTGTGGGCACATGCTCGGGGATATACACAGTCCATACTGCAACTTATGAAGCATAAAGATTGAATAGCTGTTCTGATGCAGAAGAAAACACCTCCCTTCATGCTAACCTTGGGCAGGGTTTTAAATCCTTCCCAGATGTTCTAAATCATAATCAATGTCCTCCATATTCTCACAGCATATCTTCCCCTTTATCATGGAACTCAACACAGAATTCTTTATGTGTGTCTGTTTGCTCAGCCTGCGACTCTCTGCAGGCTAGGGCTGTGATTTAGTCATTCCAAAAATGTCTGAATACAGAAGTGGGGAAATGGTAGGGCGTTTGGGCAAAACCAAAAGATAGCCTGAAAAGAGTAAAGCACAGTAGCAAGAAAAACTTCAGAGCTCTTTATTCTTACAACTCAATATCACAGAAATAACAAATACCTTTTGAATGTTTATTCTATGCCAAGGCATACAAACTCAGACAGCAGACTGCTCCCCAGAAGTTTTCAGCCCATGAGGACATGAGATGAGGACATCAAGGTGCATGTTAGGGAGGATCATGGGTGAGGCAAGCCCAGAGGGCCAGGGAGCCCTGAAGAGTGACAATCAGACTCAGGTGGAGGATGGTGGAGGGAGAGAAGGGCTGTAAGGACAGGGACTTCCAGGAAAAGAATAAGAGCTGAGGTTTGAAGGTTAAGTAGAAATTAGCTGGTCAACATCATAAAAAAGAGCTTTTGTTAAGTGGACTTTTTTTTTTGCCATATAATGGAATTTCTCCAAATACATCAAGTAAAAAACAATCCAACTACTAAAAGTTAATTATAACTTGGATTCTTTCTATATTATCAGAAATGGGATCTTAAAAAATTCAACATATTTCTATGTCACTATATATTGCTCTGCATGGGTCAGAAAGACAATGTTATTCGTTAAGACATGTATTTACTCATCATCGGTGTCCAACTCTTTGCAATCCCATGACTGTAGCCTACCAGGCTCCTCCGTCCATGGAATTTCCCAGGCAAGAGTACTGGAGTGGGTTGCCTTTCCTTCTCCAGGGGATCTTTCTGACCCAGGGAACGAACCCAGGTCTCATGCATTGCAGGCAGATGCTTTACCCTCTGAGCCACCAGGGAAGCCCAAGTTTGGGGTTAGATCCTCAGAAAAGAAAGTGAATGTCTGCCCATTAATAAAAAAAAACTTCACAACCAAGGTATAAGGAAACATGGTGACAGCCAAGTCAAAGTTCAGAATGATGCTCAAACTAATGGTAAATTCAAAATACTCTAAAAGACAAAAGTCAGGTGAACAAATGTGCTTTCTCCTTCCCTCTGTGTAGTGTGGTTACCTACTTACACCTTCCCTGGTATGAATCAGATAAACACTTTGATTAATCTCCTCTTTACCTCAGTGCAGATGAATTTAGCCCAGATATATTTTTCTCTGATAGAATCTTTACAAGTTTGTCTTTTTTTTGCAGCTGTTAATTTAGTATTGTCTTTCAGATGAAATGCCATCAGGTCTAATTGCCATGAGACAGATAGTAGGAGGAAGCTAATAAGGTAGGCTGTCAAATGACCTGTTTTATATCAATTTTCCTTGGTTTGTAAAATCTTTTAAATGGTTTTTAAAAAAATTAGCATTTCTTAAAGTACTATAGGTTATGCTATCCATAATGCAAAATATCAGATTATGTTCAAATTACCAATTATCAGCAAATTTCAGAAAATTTAAGAAAAAAAAGCAAAAGCTTGGGAACACAGAAAAAGATTTTCAAAAAATTTCCTTAGTGTTGTGCTTATCTCAGCATTCAGCTCTTATTTAGAATGATTTTATTTTAATGTTTGAGAGTGGATATTCTTTTTTTTCCCTTTGACCAGAAAATACAACTTCAACATATAATACGATTAAAAAAATATATGTGATTTTTATCACTCTTTTCTACCTCCAATTCTACCAATTCTCTATCAAATAGGAAAAACATGGAATTCTGAAAGCCTGAAATGATAAAAAGAAAGATTACTTAATGGCAGAATGTATTTTAACTGATAAGCCTTTGCTTCTGGTTTATTGTTATAATAAAACAAGATCATATAAAGCATTACTTTTTAATGCTGGAAAAATAGGAGCAAAATAAATCAAGCAAATAATATCTGCACTTTATTATTTCTTGCCTTATAAACATTTAACTATATAAAAAATTAAAATGCTATTTTATATTCAACTGCTTCTAGTTTTTCACGGAAACTACAAAACAGAAGAACCAAGATGTTTCCTTTGTTTTAACAATCAACTGCATTAAGGCTAAGCCTATGCATGCATGCATCCTCAGTCACAAAGTCCTGCAGGGCTCTGCAACCCCATGGACTACAGGCCGCCTACACTCGCAAAAGTATTAGAATATTCAAGGAAATATTTGATAAATCAAGCAAAAAAGGACCATATTTGCTTTAACCATCAGGCTATGTTATAAAATATCTGAGGAAGGGGCTCCAATTTGCTCATTTACTTGCCTCAGTGCTTGCTTTTATTTTTTTGGTATAAAGCTGATATATATATATATCAGCAAATTTTTATATACACATATATGTGTGTATATATATATTCTTTTGGTATAAAGCTAATACACACATATATATACACATATATACTGTAGATTTCTCTTTCTGCTGATTCCTACACTTCCTCCCTGGAATGATGAATTAAAAGGATACTACATAATCGACTTAACAAATTAATGTGAAAAAACACCATATCCTCTAGATAAAA